CGCGAATCACCAGTGTCGGGTAGATTTTGAGGCCATCAGACCGGAAGGCGGGATTCTCAAAGTACTCTGAGAACTGGGCCAGATCACGCTCCCAGCCTACATTAGGCAGGTCGGGCATCATGTGCGAGATCACCTTGAAACCGGCGTCCTTGGAAAGTTGAAAGCACTCTGTGACAGCGTTAACCGTATGACCCCTAGAAAATAGAATACGGAAATAAAAAACCCAATTACAACGACGCAGATGCTATTATTGGTGTTTCAAGTCACATACGGCCAAATAGTATGAGGATAGGGTAGCGAGTAAAAAAGTAGCAAAATGAGCCCACACCGTAAAGTGTAGGCAATGAACGGCTCAAAGGCCTACCATCGTAACTTAAGAATTTTACTTTAATAAGACTAGCACAAGACGAAGAAAAGATGGAAACTGTCAGAGTTAAGCAAAAAACATGGATATTCGAAGAATAAGGGAGTCTGTGACGTCTAGGGTAGCGCACCCTGTTACTTTTAAGAGAATTCTCCCAGGCTTTTGCTGATCTTGTGCTCCAGAGTCACGAGGACAGACACACCATTATCGGAGCCAATTAACGTTTCACCCGAGAGACGTTGAATTGGGCATTATTTCTACGCAAGTTGTCATTACATCCTACATTAGCAAGAGTCGAAGGGGTTGAAAGGAGTGACCTCGTAAGATGGCTGTTAACTAAATCACAAGCAATTCGTAAAAAAATTAAAAAAACAACGTGGCAAAGTGCTGTCTACTTCTGGCCGTTTGTGGAGTTCCACAGCCTGCTGTGAATGCGCAGTCTTGGATCATGAGCGACCACCCTATTAAATGCGATTACGACAATGTGACATGACCATCGCCAAGCGCACTAACAAACTTGTCCTGCTGGCACTAGTTTACTGGCTAAATATCCATCTAAGAGCCGGATTTATCATTAAGTAATCCATCTTGTATTGCATTTTTCGAATATTTGTAAATATACAGGTAGTTCCACCGTGACTATCGACTTATAGTACGGTGCCAATGGGAACTGATGCAACCAGAGCCCGTCAACATAACTGTTCAAAAGAGAAAAATGCAAATTGAACGCAGAGGGGTTGCCTGGCTTTGACAAAACAGCGTCCAGATATACAAAGATTGACGTAATCCAAGGTGGACGTTGTCGGGCCCTCAGTAAAAGTATTTAGTTATCAAGTAATAATAGGTGTTCAGATACCCACCACAACGCGAATCGACGTGGCATAGGAATAAGCCTGAGTGGGTGGGCCGAAGTTTCAATAATTAGCCAATAATCGATGCAGTAGAGAAGTTACCTTATGTGTCTTTTTGGTGAACTGCGAAGTAAATAGGAATAGAGTCGACGGCTCAGCAAAAATTTTCTCACCATAAACAATCTGAAGCGCTTGAAGCTATCACTGTGCGCTAAGAGACGTGGCTTCGAAGATTACTAACTAACGGGATAACTCAGAACTCGCATTTAGCCTAGTGTGTTTTTGTAGAATGGCCGGCTGATAGACTGAGAGTCAGGCTACAATGGCTTCTTAATGTGTCCTCTATGGCAATTGCACTGCGCGGGATCCGAGCTAGGTATGACGTTGCCTTAGGGCCGGCTCCGGCCCCGCCCACCACCTGCGTCTACTTTCGCATCGAGTCTTTCTAACTTGGTCATGACACCGGACCTAGGTGGGAAGGGGGAGTGTGGTACATGATCAGCGAGCGTAGGATCCCTATCAACGCGCGCAAGT